CTTGCCTAATTTTTGAAATATCCCCCTTTGTTTATTTTACACTTTGAACTTTGTCCAGGATATAACTCTAAAACTATAAGCGGTATCAACATGAAACTTTGTAGGTAGATAGATCTCATTGAGTAGGTGTGCAGAGCATAAGAACCGTAACTCTGCCTTGCCTATTTTTTAGCTCAGCAGACCCAAAGGCTCAGGGTGAGCTTTTAGTATCAAAGGGGGATGCTACGGCGTCCGTCGTCATGCGTCAACATGTGTCTTCTTCTCTGAAACTACTAAGCCGATTTACTTCAAATTTGGTCTGTAGCATCCTTGTGACAGTCACACTTGAATTTGCTCATATCATTCCAATTGGCCCCTTTTAGGGGTCAGCAGAGCTAAAAATAGAAAAACCTTTGAACATCTTCTTCTACAGAACTAATGGATGGATGATCACCAAACTTTGTCTGTAGCATTCTTGGGTAGTCTTTTATCAAGTTTGTTCATATTAATTTGATTTCCCCTTTTAGGGGCTTTAGGGCTAAAAATAGAAAAACTTTTAAACATCTTCTACAGAACCAATGGATGGTTGATCACCAAACTTTGTCTGTAGCATTCTTGGGTAGACTTTTATCAAGTTTGCTCGTATGAATTTGATTGGCCCCTTTTAGGGGTTGCTAAAGCTAAAATAGAAAAACCTTTAAACGTCTATTTCTACAGAACTTATTGATGGATGATCACCAAACTTTGTCTGTAGCATTCTTAGGTAGTCTTTTATCAAGTTTGCCAATATTATTTTGATTGGCCCCTTTTAGGGGTCTCTAGGGCTAAAAATAGAAAAACCTTTAAACATCATCTCTTACAGAACTAACTGATGGATGATCACCAAACTTTGTAGCATTCTCGGAAAGTGTTTTATCAAGTTTGCTCATATTTATTTGATTGGCCCCTTTTAGGCGCCGCAAAAGCTATAAATAGAAAAATTTTAAATGTCTATTTCTAGAGAACTAATTGATGGATGATCACCAAACTTTGTCTGTAGCATTCTTATGAAGTCTTTTATCAAGTTTGCTAAAGTAATTTTGATTGACCCCTTTTAGGGGTCTCTAGGGTTAAAAATAGAAATACCTTTAAAATGTCTTTTTCTACAAAACTAATTAATGGAAGATCAGTAAACTTTGTCTGTAGCATTCTTGGGTAGTAAAATTATAAGAGATATCAACATGAAACTTTGTAGATAGATAGGTCTCATTGGGTAGAAGTGCAGTACTCTGCCTTGCCTTATTTTGAAGTTATTGCCCTTTGTTTATTTTTACTTTCTGACTTTTGTCCGGGACATAACTTTAAAACTATTAGAGATATCAACATGAAACTTTGTAGGTAGCTATATTCATTGGATAGAACTGCTATGCTTAAAGAACCTAAACAAAGCCTGGTCTAATTTTGGAGTTATTGCCCTTTGTTCATTTTTAGCTCACCTGACCACAAAGTGGTCCTGGTGAGGTATAGTGATGGGGCTATGTCCGTTGTCGTGCGTTGTGCGTCGTTCGTCGTCAACAATTGGGTTGTTAACAGTCTAGCAGTCACAGTTTTGATTGGATCATCATCAAACTTTGTCAGAATGTTTGTCTCAATGAAATACAGATCGAGTTCGAAGATGGGTTATCTCGGGTCAAAAACTAGGTCACAGGAGCTAAAAATAGAAAAAGCTTGTTAACACTCTAGAGGCTGAAGTTTTCATCCAAATATTCTGGAAATTTGTCAGAAAGGTTGTTTTGATGATATCTAGGTCAAGTTCGAAGATGGGTCATCTCCAGTCAAAAACTAGGTCACAGGAGCTAAAAATAGAAAAAGCTTGTTAACACTCTAACAATTGGGTTGTTAACAGTCTAGCAGTCACAGTTTTGATTGAATCATCATCAAACTTTGTCAGAATGTTTGTCTCAATGAAATACAGATCGAGTTCGAAGATGGGTTATCTCGGGTCAAAAACTAGGTCACAGGAGCTAAAAATAGAAAAAGCTTGTTAACACTCTAGAGGCTGCAGTTTTCATCCAAATATTCTGGAAATTTGTCAGGAAGGTTGTTTTGATGATATCTAGGTCAAGTTCGAAGATGGGTCATCTCAGGTCAAAAACTAGGTCACAGGAGCTAAAAATAAAAAAAGCTTGTTAACACTCTAGAGGCTGCAGTTTTCATCCAAATATTCTGAAAATTTGTCAGGAATGTTGTTTTAATGATGTCTAGGTCAAGTTCGAAGATGGGTTATCTCGGGTCAAAAACTAGGTCACAGGAGCTAAAAATAGAAAAAGCTTGTTGACACTCTAGAGGCTGCAGTTTTCATCCAAATATTCTGGAAATTTGTCAGGAAGGTTGTTATAATGATATCTAGGCCAAGTTTGAAGATGGGTTATCTCGGGTCAAAAACTAGGTCACAGGAGCTAAAAATAGAAAAAGCTTGTTAACACTCTAGTGGCTGCAGTTTTCATCCAAATATTCTGGAAATTTGTCAGGAAGGTTGTTTTGATGATATCTAGGTCAAGTTCGAAGATGGGTTATCTCGGGTCAAAAACTAGGTCACAGGAGCTAAAAATAGAAAAAGCTTGTTAACACTCTAGTGGCTGCAGTTTTCATCCAAATATTTCTGGAAATTTGTCAGGAAGGTTGTTTTGATGATATGTAGGTCAAGTTCCAAGATGGGTCATCTCCGGTCAAAAACTAGGTCACAGGAGCTAAAAATAGAAAAAGCTTGTTAACACTCTAGTGGCTGCAGTTTTCATCCAAATATTCTGGAAATTTGTCAGGAAGGTTGTTGTGATGATATCTAGGTCAAGTTCGGATATGGGTGATCTCCAGTCAAAAACTAGGTCACAGGAGCTAAAAATAGAAAAAGCTTCTTAACACTCTAGTGGCTGCAGTTTTCATCCAAATATTCTGGAAATTTGTCAGGAAGATTGTTTTGATGATATCTAGGTCAAGTTGGAAGATGGGTCATCTCCGGTCAAAAATAAGGTCACAGGAGCTAAAAATAGAAAAAGCTTGTTAACACTCTAGTGGCTGCAGTTTTCATCGAAATATTCTGTAGATTTGTCAGGAAGATTGTTTTGATGATATATAGGTCAAGTTCGAAGATGGGTCATCTCCGGTCAAAAACTAGGTCACAGAAGCTAAAAATAGAAAAAGCTTGTGTACACTCTAGTGGCTGCAGTTTTGATCCAAACATTCTGGAAATTTGTCAGGAAGGTTGTTTTGATGATTTACAGGTCAAGTTCGAAGATGGGTTATCTCCGGTCAAAAACTAGGTCACAGGAGTTAAAAATAGAGAAAGCTTGTAAACACTCTAGTGGCTGCAGTATTGAGTCAAATATTCTGGAAATTTGTCAGGAAGGTTGTTTTGATGATTTCTGGGTCAAGTTCGAAGATGGGTCATCTTAGGTCAAAAAGTAGGTCAAAGTAGCTAAAAATAGAACAAGCTTGTTTATACTCTAGTGGCTGAAGTTTTGATTAAAATACTCTGGAAATTTGTCAGGAAGGTTGTTTTGATGATTTCTGGGTCAAGTGCAAAGATTGGTCATGTCCGGTCAAAAACTAGGTCACAGGATCTAAAAATAGAAAAATCTTTTTAACACGCTAGTGGCTGCAGTTTTGATTCAAATTTCCTGGAAATTGGTCAGGAAGGTTGTTTTGATGATTTCTAGGTCAAGTTTGAATATGGGTTGTGTCCGGTCAAAAATTAGGACACATTGCCCAAATATGGAAAAATCTTTATAACAAACTAGTGGTCACATGTTTGACTCAGTTGTCATCAAACTTGGCCATGATGCTTGTTTAAGACATTGCTTGGATGCGGTTGTGTCAGGTGAGCGATCCAGGGCCATCATGGCCCTCTTGTTTACACTTTGAATTTTACCCGGGACATAACTCTGAAACTATAAGAGATATCATCAGGAAACTTTATAGATAGATAGATCTCATTGAATAGAAGTGCAGTGCAAAAATACATGACTCCACCTTGCCTAATTTTGGAGTTTTGCTTTTTGTTCATTTTTTTATACTTTCCTGTGTCCAGAACCTTCTCGGGGAGCATCACCCGGTTCAGCCAGTTCTTTTTAGCTCACCCTGTCACTTTTTAGCTCATCTGTCACAAAGTGACAGGGTGAGCTTTTGTGATCGCTTTTCGTCCGGCGTCCATCCGTCATCCGTCCGTCCAGCGTCCGTCCGTAAACTTTTACTTTAAATGACATCTCCTTATAAACCACGAAGCCAATTTCATCCAAACTTAACAGGAATGTTCCTTTGGTGGTCACCTTTAAAAATTGTTCAAAGAATTTAATTCCATGCAGAACTCTGGTTGCCATGGCAACCAAAAGAAAAAACTTAAAATATCTTCTTCTAAAAAACCGAAAGAGCTAAGGCTTAGATTTTTGGCATGAAACATCTTCTGGTGAGTGTCTACCAAGTTTGTTCAAATAAAGGCCCTGGGGTCAAAATTGGCCGGGCCCCAGGGGGTCATTGATTTTCCCAATATGCATATAGAAAAAACTTTAAAAATCTTCTTTTAAAGAACCCAATGAGCTAGAGGTTAGATTTTAAGCAGGAAACATCTTTTTGTTGGTGTCTACCAAGTTTGTCCAAATAAAAGCCCTTGGGTTTAAATTGGCCCTGCCAAAGGGGGGGGGGGGCGGAGGTCATTGTTTTTCATTATATGTGTGTAGTAAAAACTTAACATCATGAAACATCTTCTTATGGGTGTCTTCCAAGTTTGCTCAAATAAAAGCCCTGGGGTTTAAACTGGCCCGCTACGGGGGCCTATATACAGGTGAGCAACCTCAGGGCCATCATGATGATGGCCCTCTTGTTTAAGTTAAGGACAGTCAAAGCCAGAAATAAATTAATATGATTGGACAACCTTATCTTGTGAACCAAAATGATATTTATTCTTAATGAATTTTATGCTCTCTGAATGTTCTGTGTATTGTCAGAAATTTATTTCATTTTTTGTATAACTCTTTTTCTATATTTAGGTTATTGTCAAAATGCTGTATTGGGATTTGAAAAAACCTGCTATAAGGTTGATGACACTTTGACCATTGACGCTGTTTATAATGGAACTGGAACACCCCAATTAGTCACTTGGACATATTCAGGGTCAAATCTGATTGTTGAAACTACTGGATGTACTCTGTTTAATAATGTGCCTGCCGGATTCCCCAACGCTTCAAGAATAACACAAAAATGTGTTACTACTGATTTGTCTTTACCTGAAAATACTTACCAGCTAATAGTGAGTGACTTACTAAAAGATGAATTGGGAAAAACATGGGCTGTCACTTTTACTCCACCAGTTGGAGCAGCACCAACAGCTGTGCAATCACCTGTCCCTTCTGATTGTTCTAGTAAGTATACACTTATTTAGTTCATGCTAAAAGATCACCATATTATTAACATTTTACTGCATGAGCATATTGTGAAAAATGGCCGTTTTCATTGAAAAGCCTCCTGTTGCAAGTTCAAACTGCTATGAAATTATAAAAAGTGCTTCAATACTGATGAAACTTGGCAAAAATGTTGACTGGACCATAGCTTCTGTAACAGTATGCTTAATCTTTAATTTCCCATGTCTCGAAATTACCAAAAATCATTTTTTTCCCATCAAAACTGATTTCAAAGTACTGCAATTTCTCAATGGATTAAGATAGAGTAAAAGGCTTTTCAGCTTTGATTACACGTTACCTTACGATTGATTTGAGGCAATTTTTAGCCTGTCACATGTCTAAAATTTTCTTGGCAATGAGGGGGGCTGCCACCGTCTTCAAACCCACAAATCCCACTTCTGGTAACCTTTTTAATCTACTTCCGCATAGCGAAAAGGGGATTATAAGAATGGCTCCCGTCTGTCTGTCCGTATGTCAGTTTGTCTGCTCTCACAGGAGAGTAATAATATGGCTAGAGGGACAATAGGTAACTGTTCTTTCTCTTTGATGTCATTCATTTTGTAATGCTTTTTTGTGGCTATCTTCTTTTGTGTGGCTAAAAAGAACAATAGAGAAAACAAAAGAGTAGCCACATTATTACTGTCCCCGTGAGAACGTCTGTCTGTCCGTCAATAACACTTTCGTGTCCGCTCCATAACTTTTAAACCACTGAATTCTTTTTAGTATCAAAGGGGGATGCTCCGGCGTCCGTCGTCATGCGTCAACAATTGTTTTCTTCTCTGAAACTACTAAGCAGATTTACTTCAAATTTGGTCTGTAGCATCCTTGTGACAGTCACACTTGAATTTGCTCATGTCATTCCAATTGGCCCCTTTAAGGGGTCAGCAGAGCTTAAAATAGAAAAACCTTTAAACATCTTCTTCTACAGAACTAATGGATGGATGATCACCAAACTTTGTCTGTAGCATTCTTCGGTAGTCTTTTATCAAGTTTGCTCATATTAATTGGATTGGCCCCTTTTAGGGGTCTCTAGGGCTAAAAATAGAAAAACCTTTAAACATCTTCTTCTACAGAACTAATGGATGGATGATCACAAAACTTTGTCTGTAGCATTCTTGGGTAGTGCTTTATCAAGTTTGCTCATATGAATTTGATTGGCCCCTTTTAGGGGCCGCTAAAGCTAAAAATAGAAAAACCTTTAAACATCTATTTCTAGAGAACTAATTGATGGATGATCACCAAACTTTGTCTGTAGCATTCTTAGGTAGTCTTTTATCAAGTTTGCTAATATTATTTTGATTGACCCCTTTTAGGGGCCTCTAGGGCTAAAAATAGAAAAACCTTACATCTTCTTCTACAGAACTAATAGATGGATGATCACCAAACTTTGTCTGTAGCATTCTTAGGTAGTCTTTTATCAAGTTTGCTCATATTTATGTGATTGGCCCCTTTTAGGCGCCGCAAAAGCTATAAATAGAAAAATTTTAAATGTCTATTTCTAGAGAACTAATTGATGGATGATCACCAAACTTTGTCTGTAGCATTCTTATGAAGTCTTTTATCAAGTTTGCTAAAGTAATTTTGATTGGCCCCTTTTAGGGGTCTCTAGGGTTAAAAATAGAAATACCTTTAAAATGTCTTTTTCTACAAAACTAATTAATGGAAGATCAGTAAACTTTGTCTGTAGCATTCTTGGGTAGTAATATTATAAGAGATATCAACATGAAACTTTGTAGATAGATAGGTCTCATTGGGTAGAAGTGCAGTACTTTGATTGGCCCCTTTTAGGGGCCGCTATAGCTAAAAATAGAAATACCTTTAAATGTCTTCTCCTACAGCACTAACTGATGGATGATCACCAAACTTTGTCTGTAACATTCTAAGGTAGTCTTTTATCAAGTTTGCTCATATTAATTTGATTGGCCCCTTTTAGGGTCCGCTAAAGCTGAAAATAGAAATACCTTTAAACATCTCCTTCTACAAAACTAATCGATGGATGATCACCAAATTTTGTCTGTAGCATTCTCAGGTAGTCTTTTATCATGTTTGTCCATATTAAATAGATTGGCCCCTTAAAGGGGACACTAAAGCTAAATATAGAAAACATTTGAACATCATCTCCTACTGAAATATTTGATGGATGATCACCAAACTTTGTCTGTAGCATTCTTAGGTAGTCTTTTATCAAGTTTGCTCATATTGATTTGATTGACCCTGTTTAAGCTAAAGCTTAAATGCCCAAGTCATGGCATTTCTTCAAAATTATAGTTTAAAGATATTCTATATTAGAAGATATTGACAATGGATTATAAAATAATCGTGTTTTGACTTCATGCAAAGTAGATATGTTATGTTTTAAAACTCTTCACACAGTATCAATATAATGATAAAGTCATTAAAAAAACTGTTTTTTTATATATAGAAAAGACCAACTTTACTTGGCCTATAATAGGATATGCAGCTTCCCATACATAGTTTCCAAATTAGACATTTTCAGTAAGAATTTCATAAATTTCAATAAATTCTATGACTCAAAGATCTTTTTCATAATGAAAGGGAAACAACTCATGTTGGAATGTGTACATATGTTATTCAATTTTTCCAAAAGAGTTCAATGCTTGGAGAAAGTCTTAATGTCATGACCTGTTTATGATGTGTAAAATATCTCATAGCTCTAGAATTCGGACATCATATTGCATAAGGTCAGTTGTAGGTCATTAACCAGGAAAAAAAATTAGGCCTAAAGAAACATTAATTTGTTTCTCCCAGTACCTTTTTTAACAAAGATGAGTTTGTATGCTCATTTTTTTATTGAATTTTTGTTAAAAATTGTATTTTTTATGCCACCGCAGCATCTGCGATGCGGTATGGCATTATAGCGATTCATCTGTGTGTTTATGTGTGTGTGGTGTTTGTGTGTGTGTTATTATAGATTATATAGTGAACTTAAAAAATCTTCTTATGAAAAACCACAAGTCCAATTTCAACCAAACTTGGCAGGATTGTTCCTTGGGTGAAGGGCTTCCAAAGTTGTTCAAAGGATTTCATTCCATGCAGAAATCTGGTTGCCATGGCAACCAAACGGAATTATAAGAATAAATTTAAAAAAATCTTCTTTTAAAGACCCAAAAGGCCTCGAGCTTAGATATTTTGCATAAGGCCACATTTAAAAAAGTCTTTGTTTGCTGTCTCCCGACCCTACTTTTTTGAGTTGGGTAGGTAGGTAGGGATTTTTTTTTTTTTTTTTTTAAATACATATTAAAATGTTTTTGGTTAAATTTTGTCTGTGAGAAGACTATTTGATAAAATGCAAATAAATGTTTTAAAATAGATACATTTTACTTTTTATTTCAGTTTCATATATATCTTCCATTTAGTCAATACAAGAAGTATAGTTCTTTTAACAAAAATACATGTAACAAAAGCAAATTTAAACATTTACTCAACATGTGAGAGGATGACTAGAACATTCAAATATACGAGGATGACTAGAACACCAGAACATATACTATGCAAAATTAACGAATAATCAACAAAAGGCATCAACATCAACAGTTTAAAGTCTGCTTCAGCTTTATCTTCACTTAATGCTGAGTATGTAACACAACCAGAAACTAAAACTTCGAACACTGCTATGAAACTTAAGATAAGTAAACAGTCCTAATTGTGTAAATACACCAACATTTTAGGTTCACACTGAGTATTCATTTTTTTATAGGACATCTATGAGGAATGTCTTTCTTGTGAACAGTGATGCATTGCTCACAAACTGGAAGTACAATCCTAAACTTTTTTAACAGTTCTGGATTTCTCTGTGCTTCTGGCTCAGCACAGTGGGCACAAATATCTGGTCTTCCAATGTTGGAGGCATAGTAAGGGAACTCCACGTGAGATTGGCATGACATCTGCAGTCGTACAAACACTCTCCCTTGCAGTGTATCTCCTATGAAAATAGATAGAAGGCTATTTAGACCCTATGCAATACAGATTTTGCCAAAAATGCAATTTAATATTTTAACATTTTAAATAATATATCACCATAGAAAATATGTAAGAAACAATAAAATCAAATTTCTACTTTCAGTTGAAAACAGTTCAAAACATTTTGACATCAATGTTGCAAGAAAATAAGTACAGAAATGTGCAATATCAATACTAACCATCAACTGTAATGACTGAACCGCAGCTGTAATCAAATTTCTCAAGGTTGTGTTTTAGAGATCGTGTTTCCCTGGCTGTCAATTTATTCTTGGAGTAAATAAACCTTGGTTTATCGCATTCAGTGCATGGAACACATATCCTTACATTTTGAGCCACTAGAAGACTATTCTTACAGCCCTGCAATAACATACACACAAAAAATGTTATACCTTTAATATTGAAATGAGTTCTGAAATGGTTCCGGTACTAAGACAGGTGGTTCTGTAATTTGCTGGTTGAAGAAAATGAAAATAAGATAATTAATACTGGTGTTATTCAAATATTCAATAAGTCCTTGTAAATGAATAAGTACTTTAGCATTCAATACTAAAATTAAGTTTCTAACCATTTTATTTTTTTTCAATGTCAAACCCGTATTTTAGCTATTAGAAAAAACACTTTGTGTCAAACTGTCAGAAATAAGATACCATTTCGAAAGGACAAACATTATTTAGGTTAATACCTGCTGTTCTTCAGCCACAGCAGAGATGGTCTGTTTCTTACTGGAAGGACGATCATCATCTCTTGTTTCAAAACCCAACACAGATTCAAGTGGTTTGTAATGTTGAGCATCTTGGTCAAGAACAGGATCAGGTAACCATTGCCACAGTTTAGTTGCTGGAGGGTTGCAACAGGCTTCATCTTGGCATCTGCGAACTTGAAAACAGTAGTGTCTTTCTAAGCAGTGCTTCTCTGAAATGAACACAACTCTGACATATCAAATTTATATCAATTCTGTTTAATGTACATATGAAGCATTGTGTATTTGAAATGGTTTCATCTGTGTTTTTAGTATACATAAGTTAATAGATTAAATAATTATGTACATGTTTAATATGATGAACCAAGCAGCAAAAATTAATTTGATATTCAAAATTGTTACATGAAATGAAAATTGTACCTAGAAATTCTTTATATGTTTTAGCCTGTTTCAACTTCTGTTGTTGGTACTGTCCAATATTGATAACTGGGTCAATAAGATTTACTTCCGCTTCAGCCATCTCAACAAGATCATCTGTTGCTGCGGTGTGAACATGGAATGGTTTCTGTTTAAGAATCATCCGCTTTGCTCGATCCCCTAGTAAATTAACAACTGGCTGTACTGATGTTATCCACTTATTTTTCAGACCTTGCACCCTTTCTGCCTTTTTCCTAATTTCATTCATTGATCCACAAGCCTTTAATGCATGCTCGGTATCAGTGTCTGATTCTTCTCGAGCTAAAGCTGTATTCTGAAATGCAATATTCAGCATGGACATGATTCTCTCTGCTGGATTAGCCCAAGAGTGACCTGGGGCTGTTCTCAAAGCTACAAGCAACTCCAAGCCTAATCTTTTGAAGAGTACTATCAAGGAAAGTTTCACAGAATGATAAGTCACCCGGTGGTCAGGACCACCATCTGTATACATAAATAGGACTGGTGTTTTTTCTCCTTTGTTTTCAAGTACATGTTGTAGCTCAGTTATATGCCTAAAAGGTGTACTAGGTTGGAAAACACTATCCTTCATAGTGAGCGATACCTGTCCTTGATAGAATGAATCTGACAAACTTTCTGGTATATCTACATCGAGAATTACAGATGGTGTAAGAGAACCCTTGCACTGTACATCATGGTCGAGACAACTTAGCTGAGAATTCATTGGCACTATTGATTTCTTGCCTCTTACACCAGATGAAGAAAACATTCCTGGTTCACCAAAATCAACTTTGGCCTTATCATCCATACAAACAAATGTGCAGTCACTTCTATTGTTAACAGCATAGTTTCGTGCATACTTGAACAATGCTGCACAGAAATGGTCATCTTGGTGACTTGCCCTTAACTGCCTGGTCTGTACTTTCATTCTTACTGGAATTCTTCCTTTGTACAATTTTGAAACATTTGTGTGAGAGTTTTTTGGCACAAATGCAAGTAAGACAGTTGACTCACTGGGTATAGGAGTACCTTGTGGAAGCTTTTGTGAAACTTGTTGAATGAGATCTCTAACAGATAAGTATTTTGAGACATGCTCAATGTTACGTCTTCTCTCATCAGCAGCAATGCAGTCCTGAATTTCATTTTCCAAGTGTTCAAAAAAAATGTCAAACGTATCTGATGGACGCCCTTTGTTCAAATGCCTAAGATCAACAACAAGATCAGGTTCAGATCCCAATATAGCCAAACGTACACGTTGATCTATTTCAGGATTCTGGTCTGAGGATGCATCATTTGTTAATGTAGAGTAAATTGATCGCAATACATGGGGAGGAATGTTTGTTCCTGAGATATTTCCATACTGTTCAGAAAACTCCTTTCTCATAGCTCTTGTATGATACTCTGGGAACTTGAGCTTCATGTTTTCATAAATTTCAGTGTCTCTCTTGAAAATTACTTCTGATGATTCATTCAAAGGAATTTTCCAAAGAACACTTAAACATCCTAAACCTGCCCCAGGGTCGTATCTGAGACAATGGGTGTCAACAGAAAGAGCTAAGTTAGAAAAGTACTTGAAACGCTGATCACGATTAACAAACTTGAACCTACCAGCAACATGTATATTTTCATCAAAAAAGAGTGGCTGAAATAAGTCTAACTCATTTATAGCCATGTCTAACTGTTTGTATTTATCAGGTATAATGTCAGCTTTAACATTATGTAGTACTGAAACATTAACATCCAACTGCCTTGGTGGAGTTAACTTTGACTGTCTGTGTTTCTGTCTTTCATTAGACTTTTCAAGATACCTAGCATAAGACTCAAAACTCACAGCTAGCATTTCCAAGTCACCTCTTGTTGTCCAGTTCTGTGACATAGATTGTGAAGCTAAGCTAAAGAGGCACTGACTCTGCACCAGAAGCTCCTTTGAAGAAAGAGTTGGCTTTTTATGTTTTTTCTTCTTGTAGTCATTAGCACCATCATAAGGCAAGTACCTAGAGTAAAAAAAAGCCGGTCTGATATTTTTACTTTTACCCACAAACCCATGTGTTATTTATGTACTATTAGATTTTAATGTTCAATGGTGCCATTAATTATGTTTCAAAAAATGTTTATGTTCAGGAGAAAAAAAGTGTTTGATTTTAAAGACCCTGGTTTACCTCAGTAAATATAATTTTTCCCTTTTGTAATGCACATTATTTTAAAATACATCCAGGTTCTTCTAGCATCAAAGCATCATGGTAAAACTATGGTCACTAAAGAGGCAATGATGACTATCTGGGACTTTCAGCATGAAATAAGAAATTTTGTAACTAAATTTGCTTTATTAAAATACCTGGCTGGAATGTGTTTTACATCTAAACAGCAATCTGCCCTGTCGTCTATAGTTTTCATGTTACCGCTAACATACCATACAGCATTCACAACCACCATAACCTGTTTTGATACAGCTGAATCGGACAATGTTTGGGGAAAATGATCTCCACATTCATTCATTTCCTTCACCAGATCATTGAAAAGTTGATCCTTGGCTGAAAAAAGACACACAACTTCCATCAGACCTATTCAAAATTTTATTGTACATTTACAAAAATCATTTGTAGAAAAAAAATGAATACTGTTCTGACATTTTTCTGAAGTTATTATAGAGTTTAAAGATCCTGTATGTTGTAATTAAATTGTTATAACAACACTTCACATGAAATTTTATATATGTATTTAATAATGTTCCTAAATCAATTTCAAAAATCCAAAAATATGTTAAATATGCAAATGTTTATATGCATTATATGTAATCATTATAGTATATACATTTATTTCTTTAATATTGAAAAAATTGGCTTAGACTTTATTGAAACTATAAATTTTTAATCACCTCCCTTTATTTACATGAATTTAATGTCAATTCAGTAACATCTTTACAAATAAATTAATGTCTATGCATTATTTCATCACATGAAGAATTCAACAGCCTGACAACTAATAGTGATGACACCATCAGATATGAAATAATGTGACCTTAATCACTTGGTGACTTAAATCAATAATCAACCATTTAAAATAAAATGTAAAAAGTAAATACAGTTTGACAAATATATTTCTTTATACCTGTAAATTTGCCAGTGTCCGTTCTCAACATTGCAGGTCTTTTAACGCTTGACGACTGCATCATCATGTCAAAAGCTGACTTTATGGATTTATTGTTGTTCTCAGCCTCGGAGTTGTTATTCCCATCATCGTCCCTAGTAATTTTGAATGTCACAAATTTCAATGTTTTATCAAATTCTTTGACTACCCTTAGTGTTTCATTGACATCTGGTTTAAAAACTTCGTTAGCATTTAGGCTGTTGCTCAAATGTACGGTAAGAATGTCAGATTTTTTCGGGTAAAAATTCTCTGCGTCATTCAACAGGTCGTTACAAATCTCAGCCCATGTCCAGTCTGAACCGTACTCGTGAAGATGGTTCTTTAACAAACTTAAACTTGATCCAGTATTGTACGTAACTATAACTGTTGACGAGATGATAAAATACTCGTCTTCTTCTAACTTTCGTTTTGCCATCGCAAAATTGTATCGGAAGTGTACACAATCGAGATTTACCCGGCGCCACTATTGTCCATACACGGTACCGAATAATGCGCGGGAACCAGAACACTACACGCCGTTACTGAACGGATATCGGTAAAAATATGCGGCACCAAAAAATATGCGGGGCAAAAAAAAAAAAAAAAAAAAAAAAAAAAAATGGTCGGCGAGAGCAAATAAAATTTTTCGGAGCGCAGCGTTTTTTTAGGGTCGGTCGGGAGACAGCAAACAAAGCTATTTTTAATTTTGGCCTAAGGCATCAGACATGGGGCGATTACTTGACAATTGTAATTGATTAAATTATGATTATTTGTCAAAACACTTGATTAAATTAAATTACTGCTTACTCCATTTTGACATTGTAATTGATTAAATTACTGATTACCGACAGGAGTAATCAGATTACATTTATGATTACTGATTACATGTACATAAGTTAAGAAATGCAATGGTTCAACAATATCGTTTTATTGAACATTTCAATACAACAAATGTACAAAAAAATAATCCAGCTTAGTTTTACAGTAATTAATTCAGTCTACATATGTACATGTGTTGCCTCCTATTTACTAAGCTATATTCTCATATTACATTTAATGTTCATTAGTTTTTCAAATGTATTTGGTTACAGGAGGCACCTTGTAAGAGTAAAGATTTTTCCAGCAATGCTGAATATAACCATATCTCACTTTTGTCAGTAATTGCAGCTTAAACTTACTCTTTACTGAACCTGTAAAGTCTTCTCAATAATAATAATATGCCTATCCAGGCCATTGTTATAATTTCACAGCTAAATTTAAGTGGTATAATTGTGACAATCATTTATGTATTGGGTCAATCTGTCAGTGATCTTTTCGTCACCTTCAGTCCTATGCATAAACCCAAGATTTCCAGTTTTCCCCCAAAATTTCATATCTCTGGCCAGTTATGAGCATTTAATTATAATTACATGGCTTGTCACAGTATCAGTGATAGCAGCACCCTAGAATGTTTTATGATCCTATCATGTTTCAAGAATGTATAGTTTTAGCTGGAGGATATAGAGAACATTTTAGATATAAGGAAAACTAAGATTTTCATAGATACATTCAATTTGAAATAAGTTAAAGACTAAAAAGACTGGATTACATTAATAAGAATTTTAATCACTTAAAACTCACAATGACAGGGACTCAGTACAGTGTTGGGATATAGTAAAAAATTAATTTTAGAAACAAAGATATTGAATAGGTTTTTCTGTACGAAATCTGCTGTGGTCATAGTATTATTTTTACAATAGGTTTATCTCTTAGATTTGGTTTGCTAAATTGCTAATCATGGTCATGCAACTACATAGTTAGGTGAAGAAGCAGGCGCTTGTTTTGGTTGAGTCTAATATGTTTTGTTTAGGGGGTTGAGTTGTCATACACAAATTTACAATTTATATGCATTTATTTTTTTCCAATGATTGTTATTATCTTAAATGCTTCTGGGATTTTTGTTTTATCAATTCATTTGTAAATAAGATTGTTATATGTCTATTAACGGAATAATTTTAATGAACACGAAATTAGTTCACACCTACATGTGTATTGGTAACGTGATGGTTTAAGCCAATGAAAACACGTCAATATTATTATACTCAGGCAGAGAAAAAGTGTGCAAAGAGTAAATCGATAATCTTTATGTAGCCAGCAAACTTTGAATTGCAAGTATTTTTTCATATCTTTTCGGCAGGATAAACTGTCCGATGATTCGTATCGTAAAATTCGCTGCCATTTACAGTATCAAGTGATTATCCCAAGCACCACCGCGACTTAGCGCGGGAATTTTAATTATAGCTAACCTCGGCGCGTATACCTTTTTCATATTTTATTGTAATAAATATTTACAAACTGTGTCTTTCGGGGTTTTTTTTTTATCAATATATAACCAATAATGATGTTAATATGAATAAATAATCATATCTCAAATCTTTGACTATGATTTACAATGAAATTCTACCTTAAGTGTATTAAAAAGGTTTTTAATTTCCTGTAATTTTATTTTGTGATTATGCTTCAAAGCAGTCAATTGACCGTGAATTTTATTTTCATATTTTGATTTCCTTGAAATCATTTTTCTCATCTGAAGGCATGCAACTTTAATATGGTGATACATTAATTACATTCCACGAAAATGTTTATTTAAAGATATAAAATATCTCATGACATGTTTGTTCATTTTACATTATACCTTTAATTCAGCAAACATAAAGTCTTCACAAAAAGTAGTATGCAATCGTACAGGTACTAATGTATGTAATATTTTTCTTGTTATTTCTAAAATTTCTTTTTACACTATTCCAACACTGTGCCGAGTTCCTGTGCACTAATGTATAATTACTTTCATGGTAAATGCATATCATGCCTCAGACATTTATATTATTTTTAGCTCACCTGTCACAAAGTGACAGGGTGAGCTTTTGTGATCGCTTTTCGTCCGGCGTCCGTCCGTCGTCCGTCCGTCCGTCCGTAAACTTTTACTTTAAATGACATCTCCTCATAAACCACAAAGCCAATTTCATCCAAACTTCACAGGAATGTTCCTTTGGTGGTCACCTTTAAAAATTGTTCAAAGAAATTAATTCCATGCAGAACTCTGGTTGCCATGGCAACCGAAAGAAAAAAACTTTAAATATCTTCTTGTAAAAAACCATAAGAGCTAGAGCTTAGATATTTGGCATGAAACATCTTCTAGTGAGTGTCTACCAAGTTTGTTCAAATAAAAGCCCTGGGGTCAAAATTGGCCCCGCCCCGGGGGGTCATTGATTTTCCCTATATGCATATAGTAAAAACTTAAAAAACTTCTTTTAAAGAACCCAAAGAGCTAGAGCTAAGATATTTAGCATGAAACATGTTCTAATGGGTGTCTACCAAGTTTGTTCAAATAAAAGCCCTGGGGTCAAAATTGGCCCCGCCCCGGGCGGTCATTGATTTTCCCTATATGCATATAGTAAAAACTTACAAAATCTTCTTTTAAAGAACTCAAAGAGCTAGACCTAAGATATTTAGCATGAAACATCTTCTAGTGAGTGTCTACCAAGTTTGTTCAAATAAAAGCCCTGGGGTCAAAATTGGCACCGCCCTGGGGGGTCATTGATTTTCCTTATATGTGTATAGCAAAAACTTAAAAAATCTTCTTTGAAAAAACCCAAATAGCTAGAGTTAAAATATTAAGCATGAAACATCTTTTAGTGAGTGTCTACAAAGTTTGTTCAAATAAAAGACCAGGGGTCAAAATTGGCCCCGCCCTAGGGGGTCATTGATTTTCTTTATATGTGTATAGCAAAGACTTAAAATCTTCTTTGAAAAAACCCAAATAGCTAGAGTTTAGATATTAAGCATGAAACATCTTCTAGTAAGTGTCTACAAAGTTTGTTCAAATAAAAGCCCTGGGGTCAAAACCGGCCCTGCCCCAGGGGTGTCATTGTTTTTAACTATATGTGTATAGTAAAAACTTTAAAAACATCTTCTTTTAAAAAGCCCAATGAGCTAGAGCTTAGATGTTTAGCATGAAACATCTTCTTATGGTGTCTACCAAGTTTGTGCAAATAAAAGCCCTTGGGTTAAATTGGCCCTGCAATGTTGGGGGTGGGGGTTGGGGGGGGGGCCTATATACAGGTGAGCGACCTCAGGGCCATCATGGCCCTCTTGTTATTTTTTCTTAAGGAGCAAAATAATGTTTAGTAATAATAATAAAAATAATGGGTTTACAGCATTATTGATGCTTATCATTCAATTTGATTGAAAAGTAGCTCTGAAGTGAAAAAAAAATTGTAAGAAAGGTAGCAAAATGTAACCAAAGTAGTATTTTGACTTCCATACAAAATACTAAATCACTTTAACTTTACCAATTGCAAAAGAGCAGATAATAGTAAAAATTTGATGACCTTTAAGTTATTGTTAGGAAACCATAACTGGACACCAAAAGTCACAATAGCTGCCAGAGGAGCCAGGACTCAGGACAAAGATAATACTCAGAAATATATGAATTTTCACTAAATCCCATGTTCAAAATTTAATGGAGATAATACTAAAAATACAGGAGTTATAAATCTATTCGCACCTGATATAAGTGTTCAGAAACATATTTTTAAGTCCAAATTTAATGCGGAAAATTCTGAGTAAAAAAGGATGATGATTCTGAAAATATTGACGCTAGAGTTATGTAGCTTGTCATGTTATTGTTTAAAGTTAGAAGTGTATTCTTTCATAAATAAAGAAGTAAGAGGAAAAATATAAATATATAAAAATAATATATAAAGAAGAGCTGTCACAGAACGTGACAAATGCCCCTAAAGGATTCTAGTTATGAACCACCTAAAACATGTTAAGTGTGGTGGTAAAAATTGACAAAGTTCGAACCCCAGCTGAGTGACCTTTAAGTTAGAGAAAGAAACCTTGGTCTTGTTCACAACACATTGTCCATCTATGGTGACTTTATATATTTAAAAAAAAATGAAACTTTCATGTATATGGAAGTTACAGAGCGGACACAACAACCACCATTTATAATTATGTCTTAAGGGCAACACATCATACATTTATGATAATTTCATATGTGAAATAAAACATATTATCCTTTCATGCACATTAGTTTCAGAGCATACACGGCCATCTCTGCCTATTTGTATATTAACATTAAAATTGAAAGTTTGAACCCCCACAGTGACCTTGACCTTAGTCGTAAGAAACCGAGCCTTGTTTGCGACACACCATGCATCTATAGTTATTTCATATATGAAAGAAAAAATAAAATCCTTTCATGCATATAATATAGAGAAATACAGAAGTTTCAGAGCGGACAGAACCACCACCTTTTATATTTATATAACATAAAAAATGACAAAGTTTGAACCCCAACAATGACCTTGACCTTAGTCGTAGGAACCCGAGTCTTGTTTGCGACACACCATACATCTTTGGTTATTTCATATATGAATAAAATTAAAATCCTTTCATGTATACTGAAGTTTCAGAACGGACAAGACCACCACTGTCTATATGTATAAAGCCGGACGGACTGACAGACGGACGGTTCGATTTTAATATGCCACCCTTCGGGGGCATAATAAACATCTAAGTTCAAAGGGGAAATAATTCTGGAAATATTCATGCTAGAGTTA